GTATTTGACTCTAGTGCTCGTCACCACGGTGTCTCCCTCAATGATGTCCTTCTCACGGGCCCAAACATGAACAACAGCCTGCTCGGGGTATTGTTGCGGTTTAGAAGGGAGCCAGTAGCTGTGACAGCTGACATAGAACAGATGTTCTATTGCTTCGTTGTGCATGAGGACCATCGAGATTATCTGCGCTTCCTCTGGTACCACAATAACGATCTTGATGGAGATGTTGTGGAATATAGGATGCGGGTCCACGTCTTTGGAAACAGCCCATCACCATCTGTGGCCATTTATGGGCTTAGGTGCTCTGCTATGGAGGAAGAAGCAGACTACAGTTCTGAGGCGAGGCTGTTTGTTGAGAGGAATTTCTATGTTGACGATGGTCTGGTGTCACTTCCCACCGAGATTGAGGCTATCACTCTTCTCCACAACACCCAGGACATGTTAGCCCTTTCCAACTTGCGGCTGCACAAAATCTCCTCCAATAGATTCAACGTTATGAGAGCTTTTCCTGCAGAAGATCTGGCAAAGGGTTTAAAGAACCTAGATCTTGACACAGCCCTTCCTCCCATGCAAAGAAGCTTAGGGGTGAGCTGGGACATCTCGGAAGATCTGTTTACTTTCAAAGTATCTGAGGTGGAGAAGCCCTACACAAGGCGCGGAGTTTTGTCTACTGTAAACAGCCTCTTTGATCCTTTAGGGTTTGCTGCCCCAGTAAGCATTCAAGGGAGGCACTTACTCAGGGAGCTCACCTCAGAAACCTGTGACTGGGATGATCCTCTCCCGGAGGAGAAGTACAAGGAATGGGAAAGGTGGAGAGACTCACTGAAAGAGCTTGAACAGATCAGAATACCACGCCAATTCACATCTATCTCTCTGAGTCAAGCACAGTGTAGGGAGCTGTGTTTCTGTGATGCATCTGTAACCGCCATTGCCGCTGTAGYCTATTTGCGGACAACTGATGAAAGCAATAAGGTGGATGTTGGCTTCATACTAGGTAAGGCGAAGCTTGCTCCACGGCCTGAGACAACGATTCCTAGACTCGAGCTGTGTGCAGCTGTGTTGGCTGTAGAAATGGCAGACATGATAGTAGAAGAGATGGACACTGAGTTCAATACAGTGACATTCTATTCTGWCAGCAARGTGGTCTTGGGGTATATTTACAATGAATCCAGACGTTTTTATGTCTACGTGAATAACAGGGTGCAGCGGATAAGGAGGTCTTCCAGCCCTGAGCAGTGGAAATATGTCTCCAGTAGTGAGAACCCAGCAGACCATGCCTCACGTTCAGTTCCAGCTGCAGGTCTAACCCACACCTCTTGGTTGTCTGGACCAAAGTTTCTGTCAACATCAGCCAAAGAAGAMACTTCTYCCCCRTCCTTCGCTTTGGTTGACCCTAATTCTGATGTCGACATCCGCCCACAGATCACCTGTCATGCAACCAGTGTCACCAGTGACAAACTGGACCCTGGGCGTTTTGAGAGATTCTCCAGCTGGCCATCCCTAATTAGTGCCATTGCGAGGCTGGTGCATGTTGCCAAGTCCTTCAAGCAAGACAGCAACTGTGAGGGTTGGCACACCCATAAAAATCCCTGTACACAGGAAGACTTGGATCAAGCCAAAACTATTATAGTCCAAACAGTACAGCAAGATGCCTTCARAGAGGTCTTAAAATGCATCAAGGAAGAAACAGCTATCTCTAGACAAAGCCCACTCTATGCCTTGTGCCCATATGTTGACCAATCTGGACTCCTTAGAATAGGAGGACGCTTGTCCCAAGCGCATTTTGACAGAGATACGATCAGCCCATTGATTCTTCCAAAACAAAGTCACGTCACTACTCTTCTCATCAGGCATTACCATGAGCAAGTCCAGCATCAGGGTCGGCATATYACAGAGGGCTCTCTGAGAGCAGCTGGTCTATGGATCATTGGAGGAAAGCGGCTCATCTCCAGCATTCTCCATCACTGTGTCACATGTCGAAGACTACGGSGAAAAATGGAGACTCAAAAGATGTCTGACCTACCTGATGATCGCCTSAGTACAGACCCACCTTTCACCTTTGTAGGTCTGGATGTATTTGGTCCATGGACTGTTGCTGCAAGGCGTACTAGGRGCGGGCTGGCAAGCAGCAAAYGATGGGCGGTGCTTTTCACATGTATGAGCACTAGGGCAATACATATTGAAGTTATCGAAGCAATGGATTCTTCAAGTTTCATAAATGCCCTTCGTCGGTTCTTCTCAGTCAGAGGCCCTGCAAAACAAATAAGGTCTGACTGTGGGACAAACTTTGTGGGGGCCTGCAGAGAACTGCAGATGGAGTCTATGAMCAGCAATAAGGGGGTGCAGGAATACCTGAGCAGCAATGGCTGCAAGTGGATCTTCAATCCGCCTTTTTCATCRCATATGGGAGGCAGTTGGGAGCGTCTGATCGGTCTTACAAGGCGTATTCTGGACTCAATGTTGCTGAAGGTCAGTCCAGCGAAGCTCACCCACGAGGTCTTGATCACATTCATGGCAGAGGCCTCAGCTATTGTGAACGCTCRTCCACTGGTTCCCGTATCAACAGACCCAGACTCCCCCTTCATTTTAACACCTGCAACACTTCTCACACAGAAGATCAGTGCACTTCCTCCTCCAAAGGGAAATTTTGTTGACAAGGATCTATTCAGCAAGCAGTGGAGACAGGTGCAATGCCTTGCCGACACCTTTTGGCATCGTTGGAGGACAGAGTACCTTCCTACCTTACAGAAACGTAGAAAATGGAACAAAGCTGAGCGAGATCTTCAGGAGAGTGATGTCGTCATTCTGAAGGATCATCTAACCAAGAGAAATGACTGGCCYATGGGTATCATTGTCAAGACATTTCCCAGCACTGATACTAGGGTCCGGAAAGTGGAGGTCAAGACAACRAAAGATGGTTCATGCAAGACTTTTCTTCGGCCAGTATCAGAGACTGTCCTACTCYTATCCTCAAAAGCAGTCTGAGTTGTTTTGGATTTACTGTGCATTCTATGGTTATGGTGGCATCTTTCAAATGCCAGGCGGGGAGTGTTCTGACCTGGGAAGCCAGAGATTGTTGGTACATTTGTAGCCACTAGATGGCAGTAGTTTTTTTATGATTCACATGTTTACCTAAACCCTGTAGGCTGCCATTTTGTCATTCTATCCATTGTGAACACATCTTGGAACTGAGCAGTCGTTAATCTGCATCCATCTTCATTGGGGAATCATTTATTGAAGCATTGTCTGTAAGTTTTGCATTTCTAGGCATTTATAGATATTTAAATGTGTATATTTGGGCGGATGTTACTTTACATTGTATATCCTGCCTTTTTCTTTGCTTATTACATTGCATGCTAATAGTTTACTAACCATAGTCATCAGTTATACAGTTATATAAATTAGTTCTTATATGCTGAGATGTGTGATTAATATGTACTTTAAAAGGGGTTATCAGAGTAACTGATTATTTTGTGTTATTTCTTGATTGCAGTTTTACCTATTCTCATGCTGTGAGTACTAATCAGCGGTGGACAATAATGCCATCTTACATTGACTACAGTGTGTGGAAAGAGTTATCTGTYTGCCTAGTTAAGGAAAGGGGGACTCTTYGATGAGGGCAGAACACTTGGAGATCATGACATTTCATGTAAAATATTTCAGTTTTAACTAGTGTGATCAATGCAACACTTGAATAATACATTTAAAAAGTAAAATTTATAGAATGTAACAACTCTTTCCTTTCTCTTTTTTATTATAAGTAATCACAAAAGATTTAAAACAGAGTTTAGCGTCAACTAATTTCGCCTGCCCAAGACAGGTCTAATATAAAATCAAGCCAAAATTTGACTCTAAGAAAGCTTTTTAGTTCAGTAGGGTAGGGTAGAATGGTTCAATGTCAGAACTATACACCTGGAAGAGAGATCCTTCATGCTACAGTGGGGCTGGAGGTTCTTCAGAAATTCTGGTCTGAAAGTGTACAGAAATGATTAAAAAATAATTATGGTCATTCCAAATGGAGGAAAATTAAAACTTCTGAATGCCAAATAAAAATCCAAGATGGCCACCAAAGCTAATTTGAAACTGCAATAACTTGGCCATTTTAGGGCATCCGTCCATCATCTTCCACTTTATCTGAAGTCGGGTCGTGGGGGCAGCAGCTTGAGCAGGGAAGCCCAGACCTCTCTTTCCCCATCTGCCTCTTCCAGCTCTTCTGGGAGGAATCCAAGGTTTTCCCAGGCCAGCTGAGAGACATATGGTGCGTTCTAGTAGTCATGGGAAGTGGTCATTTCCCAGTTCCCATTGGTAGATTTAAACCGGAACGCCCCCTCCAGTGGGAAAATTCCGCTCGTCAACTGGAAGAAAAAAAACTGCCCCCAGTTTCGGTTTCAAGATGGCAGCTACACGTAATTTTAGTAAATACACTCCGTAACGTTTACTATTTATAAAAATTCTAAATGAAGTTACGAATATCTGACACCACGCACAACTTAGGCGTCGAATTGTGCATGCGCACACATATTAAAAAACATTGTTTAGTTGCATGATATACTGTGTATAGCTCAGTTTTACTCATTGTTTATATGTGTACCAGCGGCAGCGATGTAAACACGTTTTCTTGCGAACCTTTTCTGTACAGCTGATGTAAAAAAGTAGCTAACATTTTGTAATACATTTTATTTTAAATAGTGTTTTGTTGTCCTTCATTAAATGCAATGGCTGCTTATTTTTTAAATGCAACCCAGACCTACACAGATATTTGTTAAATTGCCTATAAATCACATGGTCAAATAAGTTTCTTTGGGTTTCAAAGCCCTGTGTGTGTAACACTATCTCCCTGTTTTTGTACTTGAAAACGCTGTTGCCTGTTCATTTGTGTAATAACTGTGTGTGTGTGCGTGTGTGTGTTTATTTTTCTAGTCTACCTCGACATGCACGACAACATGTTTGTGGATGAGGAGAGAACAACTCCATTACCTGGTCCCCTGTATCGGAGTGCTGATGACTTCACCTGTTTTTACATGGATGCAGACCTTAGAGTTTTCTTTGTAGTAACATTATGGGTGATGTTAGATTACATGTCATATTTTTATGTTTTTATGCATGGATCCAACTACTGTGTGTTTTACGTTCCATCCATGTCTTTGAAATGCTGCTGTTTTTTTTGCACATTTTATAATTAAAATTTTCCTTTTTCAGACTACTGTGATTTCATTTCACTATGGGCTATTAACTGAGAGACCTTACACAGAAAGTATATTGAAGCAATTAGACTGTTTAATAGCATTTAAATTGGTCACACAGGTAAAGTTGCAGTGAAAGAAAAATCTTTGATTTGAAACTTTTCCTTCCATAAATTACATAACCAGGTACACAGTCATGGTGTTTTCTTTAAAGACATTGAACTATTGAGTGATTGTACTTATAAGCTTAAAAAACCAAAGCCTTTACCTCACTTTTTGCTCTATTTGTGTTAGAAAATATTTTACTACTTTCCATGTGATAATAACAAGGTGTATAGTTCTGACATTTATTAAAAGCACTATGAACCTTGACTGTGGAAAAAATAAGATTACATCTCAACACTGTGTAAACCAATTATTTCTTTATTGCAACCCACTGCTTCCAAAGGTTGTCACAGAATGAGACCAAAGAAAAAGGTTGAATTAACTAAAAATGTTTATTAAACTCAGAAAAAGCTGAACTTCAGACAAAAGTGTTGTCGTCCATTTCGAGCATCACCTCCCACTGAGTTCCTGTCTTCAGGATGACATGGTTTCCTGCCAGCATTGTAGGGTCCAAGACAATTCTACAATGGAAAGAGAGTGTTTATTTCAGACAGAATTAAAGAAAAGTATGAGCTACAATTTGTTATCATTTCTTAGTTCATTATTTTTAATTTATTTCTATGATGTGTTATTCGGTGACAAATACACATTGAAGATAGATTAAATTAAAAATAAAAAGTGCAAGACTTCGTTTCTGTGAACATTATTACGTGGTGGAGTGCTAAGTCACAAACCACAGCTTCAGGATGGAGCTCTAACTTCGCAAATTTACAGTGTTCAATGTTTTATCAMCATATCACAAACGCTAWATGTTTTCACTTTAACTTAGTGATGGTGTATTTTATTAGTTCGCTAACARTAGGGACATAGCAAAAGGCTTTGTGGCTGTGCCACTTTATATTTAATTATTTTGTTCACCAACTATAAAACTTTAAAAAGTACCTTCGGTGGTTCTCATCTGCAGCCTCATCCAACATKTTCTGTGAAAGGAGTGYATATCTGGTCAGTAATTTCTTATATTCGGAAACCGCAACAAAAACAAAGCGCGGGTCCATCTTGTTTTCCCAGTTCGACAACCAGAACGTGGTTTCATGTGATTGCTTGGGAAATTGCATCACTACCACTTCCTAGTTACAGGTTTACCATGTAAATGGAAYGCAGCAATAGTCTCTCCTGCGTGTCCTGGGTCTTCCTCTGGGTCTCCTCCCWGTTGGACCTGCCTGAAGCACCTCCCTAGYGAGGCATTCAGGAAGCATCCTTACCAGATGCCCAAACCACCTCAACTGGCTCCTCTTGATGTGGAGGAGCAGCGGCTCTACTCTGAGTCTCTCCCAGATAAATGAACTTCTCACTCYWTCTCTAAAGGGGAGTCYAGMTACCCTRCAGGGAAAACACATTTCGACCGCTTGYATCCACRATCTTGTTCTTTCAGTCACTGCCCAAAGCTTGTGATCATAGGTGAGGATAGGAACATAGACTGATTGTAAACAGAGAGCTTTATAATATATATTCAGAGAGCTGAATAATCTATAAAACCTTAAATGGCACAAGAGCAAAAAGTCATTGCTAACATCACTTGAATGAGCTTTACAGTTGGAAATTATACTAGCTTCAAAAAGTCTACAGGTCTGGTTTCACTGCAAAAATCGACAGAAGAAAAATAATAAAGAGAAACAGTATAATGTACTGGGAGCCTTTTGATAACTTCCATTTGTAACACATTTTTGTTTTTATAACAGTACATGAGGTGTAAAGATAAGTGTTTTATTGATGTATTTTTGTTGCGTTTCATTCTTGTAACAGAGACAGATGTCCTCTTTTATCCACTTGTTCAAAGCAGATCACAGCAATGAGATCTGTCTCAGCTGTTTTCATGCTCAGGTTTCTCAAGGAGGATCATGACCTGTTGACCTGCACAGCTTGTTCTCCTTTTGTCCTGACAATAATAATTACATTACCTGAAAAATGGTCTTTAAATTTTATGTGACTAAAAAACACTCATTGTTGACTGGAAATGCAGAGAACTTTAGAACTGAACTGTGCGCTCTGATGTTCAATCAGCCTTTTTCTCTGTATTGATTGCTGCCTGTCAAGTGTCCTTTAATTTCATGGCTTCCCACACTTGAAAAGGAGGACTTGTAGACTTCAGGATTTCACTCAACCCTTTTTAATTT